AAAGAATATCACTGTAGTGAGAAGACGAACGCAGGTGTAACTTATCTGAAGCTTAGAATAGGGTGCACATATTTATCTGAAGCTTAGAATAGGGTGCACATATTTATCTGAAGCTTAGAATAGGGTGCACATATTTATCTGAAGCTTAGAATAGGGTGCACATATTTAAATGCAGAATACGTATAAGCAGAGACAATCCATACCACATTCTCCCCTTCTGGTTATTTGTAGGGGACAAAGTCATTGCACTGACCCGGTCTTCTGCGGGTCCTTTGAGGACGTCGTGCTGGTTTGCAGTCGACAGCTGACTCTGACATTGACTCGTCTGAGTTTGTTGTACCTGGTTTGTCTTACCTACTCGAATTTGAAATATAAACCTTTGACTTGAAGTGTTTACGTATTCTTCGATTTCTAAGCCACTCTTTGTCTGATCTTAAAATATCGGTGTCCGTTTGTTCTTGTACCGATTCCATGTTTGAAATTGAAACAGATCGTTATCAGCCTTGGCTTGTCTATTTGTTGGTGAGAGTGCTCCTCCTTAAGGATTTCTATGAAGTTTTCGAACGTTAAAATCCAATGAGCCCAATATTCAGCAGTTGTGACATGTCGCCGTCAAACCTTTGTCATCTCTTGCAATGATCCATGTTGATTCTAAGTTGAATAAATTGTAGTGAAAAAACGAATGCAGGTGTAACATATCTTCAGCTTCATTCAGCTTAGAATATAATGTCTCCTTCTGGACTTATTTAAATACAGAATACGTGTAAGGGGAAATAATCCATACCAGAATCACCTAAAAGACATTTTTCTTTATGAGGAATCTGTGGAGAGCCATGATCGACTACATCATGAAGGGACAGGTCAGGTTTTAAGAAATGTTTAATTACAAAGAGGGTAAATATCATTCCTTTTTTCTAAGCATTTTGTCGACATCAGCACTTCTGCCATTTAGACAGTTATTATTTTTAATTTCGTCCATTTCCGACTCTAGAGTCTCAAAGGTGTCGCCCGTGTTTGCTGTTACGGACACCACTCTGACCTTGATCTGTCATAACTCTCTTCATTTCTCGAGTGAAGTCTTTTTCTACTTTCCAAGCCCATTTTTCTTCATTGAAATGTCTGCTGCAATATTGACATCTACGGTCTTCCAAACTTTCCTTTCACAGTTCACAATAACGAAATCCGTTCTTTTGGGCTCAAGAAGGACCATTTGTATGAATTCCAAACACCGAGAATATATTTTACTAAGTAAAGAGTAAAAGTCGTATTTTATTTTTTTAAGCGTCGTTTCTAGAATATCACCTAAAAAAAAACACATTTTCATTATTTATTTTTATTTTTGGGTGAATTTTACTGGTTTTCTTGGCAACTGTTGTTTTTTTTATTATAGCTGAAAGTAAAAAAAAATCTTTGTTTAAACCTGAGAAAAAGAATAATTTCAGACGAAATATGTTGTAGTAATTCCTTAACACATGATGCAGAACAACGTATTGACTCTGATCTTTCAGCGCAAATTAATTTTTCTCATTAAATATGCAAGCCGTTTTTAAAATTACAAAAAACAATCAACTTCTTGAATATTCATGAGTGTTTGAATAAATGTATTCATATGTGTGATCTATATAAGGTAAAAATACATAGATGTATATATCTCGCTGAGTTTAAACAAAATAAATGAATGCATTTTAAGTATAATGAATGTTATCTAAATACAACACACCTATATCTATCTATCTATCTATCTATCTATCTATCTATCTATCTATCTGAGTCTATTCCTATCTATTTATGTATCTCAGTCTCTTTCTTCCTATCTATCTATCTATCTGAGTTCGTTCCTAGCTATTTATCTCAGTCTGTTCATTATCTAGCTATCTAGCTACATACATGTATGGATACTTTAAATTACAATTATTCCTTCAATAAAATATAATTTTTCTTCTTATTTCACTTCTTTTGTATATTTCATTCTTCTTCCTTTAGATGTAAAATTTGGTAAAACAATAAAAAGCATTATGAAATAAAATAATTTAAAAATCACAAAAGATTTGGGCTACAAATAATTATTCCACGCTGCATCTTTAAATAAAATGAAATATAAATGTGTATTCATTTGTGCAGATGTGTGTTTGTGAGCTTTTTGTCTGAGAATCATTGATTTCATGTCGTTTAAACTGATCATTAAACTGAAGAAACTCCGCTCAAACCTTATTTCTACAATATTGGGAAAAGCCATTATAGATGGCCTCAATCTAGTTACTCATTCTAGCAACAGCGATACCCATGGTATATTTTAAAGACGAGCATATCTAGAAGTTGGTAGACACCTGAATCTGTCTTCTTGTTTTTCTATCCAGGAAATGAAAGTTTTCTGATTTTCTTGCATGTCTTTCCCTCTGCAGTCTACTGAGCATATTACTTAATCCCAAATTGTTAAATGTGCGTATTGACTTATCTGTTACTTACCTCTTTACACTGCTTATCTATAAAGCGTGAATAGTCAGCAGGTTTGTGTGTAATTATGGGTAGAATCCTCAGTGTATCGACGCAGGAATATGCACATATATATTAGGTGTGTGAGTGTCTGTGCACACGTGAATATTTCATGCCCTTTGGGATGCCTTAAAGGTAATAAAAAGGAGGAAGTTTTAAGTAAGAGCTTGGCACACAAAAGCGCGATCATGTTGACACGTTCATGCCCTTTAAAACCTTTGCATATGGAGTGGAGATCGCCTGCAAGAATATTTGAATGAGGGAAAGATGGCGGCCGGTTTGGGAAAAGAGAAAAATTAAGAAAGAGAGTTGGGGAAATTATTGGCAAGAAGTGGATAGCGGCGAACGGGGCGAATAACGAGTGAGAAAGGAATAACCAAAAGTAAATAGACAGCAACAAAAAAGAAAGAAAGAAAAAAGAGGAAAAACTAGCAAACGGCAAAAGAAAGAATAACACTATGTAAAACAGCTTAAAGAAAGAAAGAAAGATACAAACAAACAAACAAACAAAGGGAGAAAGAAAAAAGAATGAAAAAGGAATAATAATATGTAAATCAGCTTAAAGAAAGAAAGGAAATAGAATACTACTACGTAAAAAAGCTTAACGAAAAAAGAGAGAGAGAAAAAAATACTACGTAAATCAACTTAAAGAAAGAAAAAAAATAGATCTATGTAAAACAGATTAAAGTGGGAAAGAAAGGAATAAAGAAAGAAAGAAAGAATAACAGTACATAAAACAGGTTAAAGAAAGAAATTGTTGAGGCAAAACAAATAAAAACAAAGAGAAAAAGAAATAAGGCTGAAAAGAAGGAAAGAAGAAAATGAAAAGATTCTGATGGATAAAACAACGAATACAATTAGAAAGAAGAGAAAGCATAAGACAGTGAAAGAAAATCCCAAATAAACAGAAAGATAACAAAACAAAAAAAAAGAAGAAAAAGAAACGAAAAGGAAAAGAACGAAAAAATAAAGGAAGAAAATTTACCAAAGGTTTTATAGTGAATAAAACTGGTTGACATGATGAACTGAATAAGACGTCGTTGAAGAAAAAAGAAACTGGAATCGGCGGAAGAAGACGATCATCGTTTTTGTATCGGTCTTAGAATTTCAAGAAGGCAACGTGACATGGAATACAAAAGTTCAGTCGAAATTAAAGAGTTTTTGGCGCGAAGCTATTGACACAAGACTGATTTTCGTTGAACGTCGGCCTAAGGCAGGGTTGTGGTTGTGAATGGGAGTGGCCTTTTATAAAAAAAAAAAAAGTGGGGGGTGAATATCCAGAGAAGTCGGCAAAATATAACGTAAAAGTAATTATCTTTCGTAACAAGATTTCATTGTACGCTCGTGCACGTAAATAATTATATATAGGATAAAAAAAAACATTCATAATAGAATCGATTTTATTAGTTCAAGACTGACCGCTTGAAGGACAAGAGTCAGTGGGTGGCTCGGACATTGAACTTCAGTACTTTCAGCTTCACACACACATACACGCACATACACAGATACACACACTCACATACACACTCACATGCGCACACACATTATGACTTCAAAAGGATGTTATATTGCAATATTGCGTCTAGCATCAAACAGCCTGTCGCCTCTGAGTGTTGACTTCAATGTTCACTTTTATATTTACACATGCTCTATCTCTGATATTGACCACTTTATCCCATAAATATAGCACACCTTAAAAAATATATTTCTTCATATATATATATATATATGTGTGTGTGTGTGTGTGTGTGTGTGTGTGTGTGTGTGTGTGTGTGTGTGTGTGTTATGGTAATTTACGCACGCACGCATCGGCTCTCCCAGCTATAAATAGGCGCATGTACTGGCTTTTGGAGGGGGAAGTTTCCAGCAGTCATCTCTGACAGTCGGACCGAACATTCTTGCTGTAACACTCTCGCTTGTATATGCCTGTATTACTGTTTCTTTTTTCACTTAACTCATGTATACTTAGGAGTCTCGTAGCTATATGCGTCCAATCACTCGTCGGAACAGACTTAATCTGCCGCTGTATCTCGGTTCTCTTGTGCTTTTATTGATATGAGTGTGTTATCTATTTCCTTTCTTCTCCATGTTGACAGATTGTTTATTTCTCTTCCTCTTTTCTTCCTCTATTTTTTCTCTTTGTATTTTCTCTTTTCTTTCTTTCTTCACATTCGTTTGTATCTGATTATTGCTGACCATTTTATATCGGTTATGTTGGGAGATTTGTGTATGTGTGCAGGTGTGCGTCTATATGCGCGCCCACGTATATGTACGCATCCACGCACGCATACACACAAGCAGGCACTCACGCACGCACGCACCTACCAGCACTCATATGTTTGTGTATTCGTGTATGTGCACCTATCTGTATGTTTGTATGTGTTTGTATTAACTGTATTTTGTGTTTCATTTTGTCTTTGTGTTTTTATTAAATTTATCTCGACTTTTTTTTTATTGCTCTGTATTATTTAATGTTCTTAGTAATTTATACTTTCCTCGGAGTTTGATGTTTGTCTTTATGTGAAAGAACCTTTTTCGTTGGTGATGTTGTTAAATTAATTGTTTTTGTGCAGGTCTATATGCACGTCTATATATATATGCACATACACAAGCACGCCCGCGCACACACTCTTCCGCACTTATATATTTATGTGTTCGCGTATGTGTTTCTAACTCTGTGCTTGTGTGTTTGTTTGTGCTAACTGCGTATTTTTTATTAAGTTGTATTATTTAACTTAGTATTAAGTTATATTATTTAACTTAGATTTTTTTACCTTTATTTAGCCTATGATATTTGTGTCTGTGTGTTTGATGTATGGAAGGTTGTGTTTGTACGTTCGAACTCTTATACTCATTCTTTTTTTTTTTTTTTTTTGTTATATATATATATATATATATATATATATATATATATATATATATATATTGCCCTTATAGAAATAAAAAAAATGTTTCGTGTGCCACAAGAATGGTCACAAAGGGTCGTGTTGTAAAACGAAAAAAGTCAATAGCCGAATTAGACAAGCAAATTCAAATATCAATCAGATAGAGATTTGAGGAAGTATGTGACGACTGAAATATTTAAAAAGAATATCAAATTTCAACTCGATTCGGGTTCAGATTTAACAATAATGAACTATAAAACATGGAAAATTTTAAAAAGGCCTACACTAATGAAGTCAACGAAACGCGCTCGAACAGTAACTGGAAAGGAAATTAACTTCGAAGGCGAGGTTGTACTTCCCATGAAATTAAACGGGATAGTTAAAAAAAATAAATGTTTTCATTCCTCTCGGCTTCGGCTGGGGGTTTTGACAAGTAATGGATCGTTTCTTGGTGGAGGACTGAGATTCGAAAAAAGGCTTTAAAGCTGGACTTTTGTTAGGACAAGTTATGACCAGAAAACCAGCTTGGACAAGCTCTGACCAATATTTTGACCAGTGGCCTGGGAAAACACTCGGGTCTCCCACGTTAATCGACCTTGTGTCATTCTTGATTTATTGGGAATCAAGTAAAACCATTCTGAAAAAATGGAGAAAATTGATGGGTACAGATTTTAAACATTCGAATTGTGGGATAAACCGTTAAACTCATTCTGCAGAAAAGTAGAAAGTAATACGCAAACAAGACAGGACATTAAAGAGGAATTAAAAAAAAAGTTTCCGGAAACCTTCACACCTGGTCTTGGAAGATGTAACAAGTTTGAAGCCAAATTTGAATTAAAGGAAAATACTATGCCAATTTTTTAAAAGAAAAGTAATGTGCTTTTCGCAAGTGTAGAGAAAATTAACGAAGAACTTGATAGGTTGGAAAAAATGGGAATTATTTCGAAAGTAGAATCTAATTCATGGGCTGTGCCGATTGTGTGCATAAAAAAGAAATCAAACCAATTCAGAGTCTGCGTCGATTTTTCGACAGGGTTGAATTCGGTAATTAAGGACTACCATTACCCGTTACCGAGTTCGGAGGAGATCTTTAACAAGCTAAATGGTGGAGTTATATTTTCAAAAATCGACTTATCAGATGCCTATCTCCAAATTCCCGTCGAAGAGGAATGTTCGAAGTTACTAGGGATAAACACGCATAGAGGGTTATTCAAGTACAACAGGCTTCCTTTTGGTATTAAAGTGGCACCAGCCATTTTTCAACAAGCTATGGACGTTATGTTGAATGATTTAGACTTTGCGTGCGCTTACTTAGACGACATCATAGTAAGGAGCGAAACCGTCGATGAACATCGAGAGCATCTCAATCAAGTATTTAAAAAGATTCAGGACTTTGGATTTAAAGTCAAAGAGTCAAAGTGCGAATTTGGTTTGGAGGAAATTAAGTATTTAGGGCACATAATCAACAAAAATGGCAGATGTCCAGATCCGGAAAGGTCCATTGCGATTAGAGACATGCCGACGCCCACTAATGTGGCGATGCTACAGAGTTTTCTGGGGCTTGCAAATTATTATCAAGCGTTCATTAAAGGAATGTACAATTTAAGAGCTCCGTTGAATGAGCTGCTAAAAAAAGACAAGGCATGGGAATGGACGGTAGAATGTCAGAAAGCCTTTGATGAAATAAAGAAAATGCTTACGTCCGACCTCTTTTTAACCCATTACAATCCAAATTGTATGCTTGAAACGGATCATAAACCGCTGATCACTATTTTTGGTTCAAAGAAAGGGTTACCCGTCTATACGGCAAATCGTCTGTTGGGATGGGGAACCATTCTTCTCAATTATGATTTTCACATTAAGCACTTATCATCCAAAAATATAATTCATGCGGATAGTTATCAAGACTCGTACCGAATCAAGAAGAAAGATTTGAAGAATCAATTATTTGCAAATATCAGAGCAGATTATGAGGTGAAAAGCATGGTAAACAACATTGTAAGAGAGCTACCGGTTACACTAAAGGAAATTAAAAAAGAAGCTGAAAGCGATGATTTCATTTTAGAAATAAAAAGCAAAATGGTAGCAAATGACCAAAAAGTGCAGGAGATTTATTCAATAGGTGACGGAGTTTTATTATATGGTGAGAGAGTAGTAGTACCAAAAAAGTTGCAGAAAAGAATACTACGGGACTTTCATATGGGTCACCCGGGGGTTAATAGAACAAAAAACTTAATGCGAAGCTTTGTGTATTGGAAAGGAATGGATGTGGATATCGCAAACATGGTTCATCGATGTAAAGGGTGTGCGTTAGCAGCTAAGGCACCACCTATAGTACACAAACCATGGCCCAAGACGGATCATCTGTGGACAAGATTACACATTGATTTCGCTGGTCCAGTAGAAGATTTTTACTACTTAATAGTGGTAGATAGTTTTACAAAATGGCCTGAAGTACTACGCTGCAAAAAAGCCTACGTCCAATACCACAACAACTTTTTGCATGAACTATTTGCACGGTTCGGTGTGCCAGAGTGTATTGTGAGTGACAATGGTACACAATTCACTTCTGAAGAATTTAAGGAATTTTGTGAGTTATATCAAATTAACCACATAACGACGCTGCCAATGGACTCGCAGAAAGATTTGTCGATACTTTAAAGCGAGCTCTGAAGAAAGCCTCAGGAGTTCCAACGGAAAAGGCGCTTCAGCAATTCTTACACGTATACAGAATCACGCCAAATCATAGAACACACTCAAACATGGCACCAGCTGAACTAATGTTTGCTAGGAAAGTTAAGTCAGTGTTTGACAAGCTTTTGCCAGGAAAAAATAGAGTAAAGAATACTATGTATACAGCGAGAAAAAGATACACCCCCGGAGAGAAGGTATTTTTCAAGTGCTACAAAAACAACGTTGAGTTCTGGGAGCGAGGCATAGTGGACAAGAGAATCGGTGACCTGATTTAGATAATTAAAGGGCCGAAGAATACTCATAAAAGGCACCAGAATCAACTTAAAAAATGTTAAGTTATAGAGCATGAAGAGAGTATACCGGATGAGGAGGAAGATCCCATTGATATAATGTATGATATGTTTCAAGTAGAACCTCCACAGAATACTCCTGAACCAAGAAGATCCGGTAGGAAACGGAAGTTCACGGACCCATTGGACGTGAATCCAAAACGGAAAAAATATTAAAATTATGCAAATGGATCTACAAAGAAATAGCCATAATCATCAACCCATATAGGAAGCCAGTTTGAAATCCAAAAGGGATTCCAAGGCTTGGGAGGGGGGTGTTGTGGTAGGATCCACCTAATTTGCATAGTGGAGTACCGACCATATAAATATGGTTGGTACCGGGAAGACGAGGGGAGGAATCAAGAGATTCAATCCAGAGACTCTGCCCGACTGCGACTAAGTCAACACATTCTCCAGGAACAGTCTTCACAAGAATATACCAAAGACTATATGTAAATATTGTGTACCTTTCTTGTTTCAACAGATTTTGTTCTAAGTACATTTTGTGTTGTATTATTATTCCATGCATTAGTCAAGTTTCAACACTCTTGTTCAATAAGTTGTTTTGATCCTTGAAGGTGATGATTGTTAATTTTTCCTCCAGGCGCAATTTACATTTTTTTCTGTGGGGCCACTTTTTTCTTTCTTTTTTTTTTATAATTTCCCATTTAATCTTGCTGATAATATTATTTTGTTTCTGGCTCCATATCTATTCTGATAAGGTTGTGTTGTTTTTGTATTTTTCTGTTTTAAATGAGAGTTGATGATTGCTAAATCTTTCATTAAAGGTTGTTTCTGTAGCTCCTATGTAGGTTGTTTTCTCCCTATTTAAAATAGACATAAAATCTAATCTATAAATAGTAAACAAACACAAACATACACGTGTGTGTTGCGTGTGTGTGTGCTTGTGAGTATGCGTTCGTGGATGCGTACACATACACCACAATTATAACGTCTTCAAGTCAAGGTTCAGCCGCTACCTATCGTAAGTATCCTAATAACTTTCATTTACTTTCCTTCTCCTCTACATCCATACAACAATCTCATTTAGAGGCCCTCTACTTAGTGCGGCTCTTGATCCTTGTATTAGGTGAATATTTATTTAAAAAAAAACATAAAAATAACTTAAACAGCTTAACTTGTGTTATCAACTGACAACAGTAAAGTAATTAATTGATAGTATCAAGAGTTATACAAGTCAATTGATGGTTATTCAACTTATAGCTGGAGAAGAATGGATGGATTCATACCTTTGAGTCAAAGTAACGAACCAGACTAGAATTCGAACTTGGGTCTCCTATTTCTCATAAGTTTTCTAACGCTATCGATAACTCAGAATAAATCTGAAAAGGCTTAACCCAAAGCTATGACTTAATTTAATTCCTAAATGTCACTACCAATTCCAATATTGCCGACCAATCACCTGTTTGTCTACAACATACAAACTCTAGCATTAATTTTAAATGAATGAGTGGTTGACTTTCTTGAAACAAATAGCCTTTATCATTGTAGTAATTCGCTGTCATTACTTAGAGATCAATATTTCAAACAAAGTCTTTAACCCTTATAAATTCTGGATCGTTTTAATTCCTCTCTCAAACGAACTAAATAAGACAGTCTATCTTACTGCTACTGTTGCTGCTGCTAATTCTCATGTCACCTTCTCCCTCCAGCTCTCACGGTCTTGGCAGAAAGTCGGAACGTCCTCCAGCGACAGATCTATCTGCTGGAGGTCACCTTGGACGAAGTCCTTCCAATGTCTCCAAGGTCTGCCGCTGGGTCGTCTCCAGTTTACAGATGGCGAGACGAACTGGTAGATGATTCTGGTAGTAGCATGGTTATCAGGTCGTTTCAGCGAACAGGGCGATGAGCGATGATCCGGAGGCTGTTTGGCTGTCCGGTCCTCCGGCGGAGCACCTCATTGGACACAAGATCGGATAAGTGCACCCATTGATGGGGAGACAGTTTATGGATATCATACATTTAATAAGTTTATTAATCATTTGTTGTACATGGAGGATTTGAAACTGTTTGCAAGAAATTATAAGGAACGGGAATATATTTTATAAACAGCAAAGAAATTCAGTGACGACATTACCATGGAATTGAGCTGAGACAGATCGACTAAAGCAACATTTTAAGAGGGAAATTGGAAAGATATCTGTCAGCGTTAATATAACAAAATCATATTAAATTATTCCGATCATTGTATATATATATATTGAAAATAAAGATGTCTATTTTAGTTTGTTGTGTTTCAATTTTGAAAAAGCTGCCAATAAGGTAACAGCCAATGAAACATAATCCTACACGCATTCTCTCTCTCTCTCTCTCTCTCTCTCTCTCTCTCTATCTCTGCCTCTATCTGTATTTTTCTCTCCTTCTACACCCCTCTCTCTCTCTCTCTGTATGTCTCTCTCTCTCTCTCTTACCAATTTCCTTCTCTTCTCTCCCTGCTACCCGTTTAAAAGTCTGCCAAATCGAGTAAAATTAGCCAGTAGGTTCTCAATGCTAATTCCCAAATTTATCTTGAGCTAAACGTGCGCCTTATAACAAAGTATTTTATTCTGCTGTTTATTACTCATTGTATAGTGTCCTTTGAATTCGAATTGCCAAGCACGTGTTTTTGTTGGCGTGCGTGCGTGTTTCATTGTGATCAGAAGAAAATAATTATTTAAAAAAAGAAAGAAAGAAAAAAAAACAGGAAAAATGAAAAGTCTTGAAGATGGTAGCAGTAGAAAAGGGGAAACGAATACAAAAGAGAACTAGCCAAAAAAAAAAAAATGGCGGGAAAGTGTATTCAGGTGGTGCGAAGTGGTGGCTCTACGATTTGAAAGATGATGTCCGGGTAGGAGAGAGGCCGACAGTTTGATCAATAGTGTCTCTACGCCCACTGTGCGGGCCGTGAGAGTGGAACTGAGGTGTTATTGTACATTGGATACACGAAGCGTGGGAGAGGACAGAGTGTCAGGATTCGGCCTCTATTCATGTCCACGAAACCCGGTAACGCCAGCACAGGTCTACATTAATTATGATCGCACGCCTGCCCTGCTTGGACGATGCAAAATTTATGGTCTGGCACGGCTTGCCCAGATTCATGCAATGGATTTTTGCCTCGCCCTATGAGCTTAAATCATTCCGTTAAATACTCAAAGGCAATTAAAGCTGCTCTCTATTCGACAAGTGCGTGAGACGTCATAAGTGGGTCTGGTCAATGCATTTTGCAAGCAGAGAAACAGAAACGACACAGGATATTTCTCTGACATTTTCTCTTTCGGAAACATTTCTTTGTTTATGTTTCTTCTTTATGTCTCTAAAGATTTGCCTTCTTCCTTTCTCATCACATTATTTAACTTTCTTTCTTTTCCCTCTCTTTCTCTCTTCTTGCAATTATTTAACTTTCTTTCTTTTCCCTCTCTTTCTCTCTTCTTGCAATTATTTATTTTCTTTCTTTTCCCTCTCTTTCTCTCTTCTTGCAATTATTTATTTTCTTTCTTTTCCCCCTCTTTCTCTCTTCTTGCACATATTTCTATATCTATCTTTTTCTCTCTTCATGTACATATTTTTTCTTTTCCTATCTCTCTCTATTTTTGCAACTATTTGTTTTTCTTCTTTTTCCTCTCTTTCTCTCTTTTTTCTCGTATTTCTTTTTTCTTATTCAATTTTTTCTCTCTTTCTCTGTTCATGCACCTATTTCTTTTTCTCTCTTTCTCTCTTCTTGCACCTCTCACTTTTCTTTCTTTTTCTCTCTTTCTTATTGCACTTTTCTCTTTTTCTTTCTTTTCCTCGTTTTTTCTCCTTGTACCTCTCTCTTTTTCTTCCTTGTATTCTCTTTCTCTCTTCATTTACCTGTCTTTTCTTCCCCTTTCTCTTTTTCTCTCATCTTGTACCTCTCTCTTTTTCTTCCTGTTTCTCTTGTTGCAACTCACTCTTTTTCTTTCTTTACTCTCTTTCTCTCTACTTGCACCTCTCTCTTTTTCTTTCTTTTACTCTCTTTCTCTCTTATTGTACCTCTTTCTTTTTTTGTTTTACCTTTCTGTACTGAAGATAATATCTTTTCGGTATTGACATTTTACATTCGTTTTCTCTTTTCTCTTTATCTTGATGTCTTTTCTTTCTTCACTATTTCCTCTCCCCTTCTTTTTTCTTCCCAACCTTTTTCTCACTTTAACATATTTGCTTTTCTCTTTCATTTTTTCTTTCTTTCACTTTTTCTTTGTTTTATCTTCATTTTCGATAGTTACCCCCTCCCCGCTTTGCTTTCTTGATTGTTTTTATTTTATCTCTTCTACGTGGGAAAGTGAAAATTATCGTCACTCTTGTTAAGTTATGGCGAAAGTGCGGATTATATTTGAATTATCTTCCTATATTTCTATTCTTTTCTTATTTCTTTTTCACCTGAATTTACATTTTTTCCTTCTCTACCTTTTTTGTTTCTTTCTTTTTTATATTTCTCTTTCTTTCTTTGCTTTTCTATGTTTATCGCCTTCCTTCTTTCTTCCGTTTTTTTTCTTCTATATAAGTGCATTATTTCCTTTCTTCATTTTTTTTCCATCTTTCTTTTCTACCTATTTTCTTTCTGTTTTTACTGTCTTCATTCTTTTCTGTTTTTCGTTATTTCTTTCTCATTTTCTAGATTTTATTCTTTCATTCATTTCTATACTCTCTTTCTTTTCTTCCTCGCCTTCTCTCTTTTCTGTACAAACAATCTTCCATCATCTTTTCTTTCTTTTCTACAATAAATATATCTCAAGGACGATCACATTAGATATATCGAAGCCTTTGACTCTGTAGACGGTTACTACATAAACTTTTCATTTATGTAATCCCTGATAGAGTTTTCTCAGTTATCAAGTCTTTCCTAACAAATAAATCCATGAAAGTAGCCAGTCCTACGATGACCCTGAGACCAATGGTAGCTTTCTCAACGTTTCGCTTCTCGCTCCAACTTTCTTTGTGCTTTCCTTACTGCATAAATGTATACACCGATCGTTTGTGGATATCTATGCAGATAATACAACAGTATATGGGTGCACCTCCAAAATTCTCTATGACCAGAGGCTGGTAGCAGATAACTCTTCTGACCTAACAAATCAATGGGAGAAAAACTTGCTTGTAATATTCAATAATTCAAATATCAAACTGTTACTGTTTCATCATCACCAAGCAGACCCTGAATTTTCGTCTCCCGCAATAAACGTATGTTTTCTCAGGGAGACCTCTGTTGACGTTCAAGGCAAACGGTTCACTCCAGACCCCCAACTAGAAATCGTATATACGATCCATTGATAAAGATGTTTGTAAATTGACCGAGCTGCATTCTTTATTTCCACCAGTTCTCTAAGCCTGAAAGCTAAGGCCCACCATGTCACGTACACTGAGACGAACTGTCCGCATTCACTTCGTATTCCATGAATAAGAACAACAGCGAATCACTACTTTGTGGAACCGGCTCCCAAGAGGATGCTTCCTTGATCACTACAATCTTAACCTATTGAAATATACAATTAACTTATCTTTCCCACATATCCTCATAAACTGTGTCTCCCACCTCTGAGACAGCAAACTTCTTCAGTAAGCCTCTACTCCGAAGGCTCTTGGGACTTGTTTAGGGTGAACATTAACAAAGAAAAGTTATTTTTTCTTTCTTTTTTATTTATCGTTTTTCTTTTCTTTTCTATATTTACCACGTTTCTTTTTCATGCATTTGTCTCCTTTATTTTATTTTGCATTTACATGCTTTTGTCTTTTTTATTTTATTTTGCATTTACATGCTTTTGTCTTCTTTAAGTTTTCCTTTCTTTTCGACCCTACATCATTTCTTTCTTTACATTTTCTATCTAACTTTTCCTTATTTCTAATCTTCCCTTTTTCTTTTATCATTCTTTTTTCTGTATTTACCATTTTTAATTTTATTTGTCCCTTTTTTCATTCTCCACCATTTTTATTTTCTTTGCCCTTTTTTCATTCTCCGCTATTTTTATTTTTCTTTGTCTCTTTTTTCATTCTCCACCATTTTTCTTTACCTTTCCTTCCTCTTCTCTATTCACACCCTTCATTTCTTCTCCATCTTTTTCTTTCTGTCTTTTTTCTCTTATCTATCTACCTCCTTCAGTTTATAACATTTTCTTTATTGATCGTCTTTTTTTTTCTCTTTATTTCTTTTTAACGTATTTCTCTTCTTTCCTTCTTTTATTTTTTCTTTTCCTTTTTTCCTTTTTTTCTCTTCTTTATTTTTTTGATTTCTCGATATTCGTTTTTCATCTTTTCTTGTCTGACTTTTCATTTTCTTTATTTCTTTTCTTTATTTCTTTTCTTTTCTATACGTAACTGCTTTCTTTCTTTCTTTCATTCATTCTTTCTTTCTTTCTTTCTTTCTTTTTTTTTTCTTTACTTACATTTTCCTTTTCTTTTTTCTTTGTTTCTTTACTTTGTTGATATTTCTTTCGTTTTCGCTTTATTTTTCTTCTTTTTTCTTCTTTTTTCTTTCTTTTTTCTTCTTTTTTCTTCTTTTTCTTTTTTTTTTTTTTTTCTTTTTTCTTCTTTTTTTTTCTTTTTTCTTTTTTTCTTTTTTCTTCTTTTTTTTTCTTTTTTTTTTTTTTTTTTTTTTTTTTTTTTTTTTTTTCTTTTCTTTCTTTTTCTTCTTTTTTTCTTTTTTTTTTTCTTTTTTTCTTCTTTTTCTTCTTTTTCTACTTTTCTTTTTCTTCTTTTTTCTTTCTTTTTTCTTTCTTTTTTCTTCTTTTTTCTTTCTTTTTTCTTCTTTTTTCTTCTTTTTTCTTTCTTTTTTTTTGTTTTCTCATTTACATTTGCATTTCCTTCTTTATTTCTTTCTATCTTTCTTTCTTTCTTTCTTTCAGTTATCTTTGTCTTTCTTTCTATCTAAAAAGTATTCAAGTCTATTTCCAGCCTTGATCGATTCTAGACATATGACCTGATGCATACATACATCAAGTGTAGAATTAAAATCCGTAGAAGAAGGTTTGGCCCTGACCATTCTAGAGGATCTTATTCTCATTTTTTTCCTATTAATGTCCCTCCATTTTAATATTAGAATAATATTTGAAGGGAATGTGGTGATACAGAAATTGTGAGTTCAATCCCTGGTTCCAGCGGTGCGTACATGAATCAGTCGAAACGGGTCAAGAAATATCTTAGCAGTGCTAAATAAACCACTAGACGAAATATTTGTAGACATGTTTAGCGAAACGAAAATAACATAAGCTCGTAGATTAAATAAAGGGTTCAGTTCAAAATTCACTGAAGGTTTCCAGGATTTATAAGAATCTGATGAAGGCTATAGGACACAACGGTTAAAACGTTGGGATAGGAACAACAAAATGAAGGCATTAATCCGAATGTAACTAATATAAATAGGAATTACGCTAAATCCGATGCTATAAAAGAGGCAACGGAAATCATTTCACATTCTTTCCCAAGGAGTATGGCAATTCAAAGATAATAAAGAAATCTACAGAGAAGAGATTATTTTAAATATTAATCCCCGTTTATTTTAAATATAAAATATAAATCCCCTCTATTTTAAATACAATATATATATATATTAATAAAAACCGTAATCCCCAGCTATAGGTAAATAGAAAGATAGACCGGGTTCTATTGGCTTGGGTGGCAACTGGTCTACCGCAGAAAGAAATGGCAACCTACTATGGGGAAAAAATCTGCTTCGTGTATCGAAAGATACATGATCACCTAAGCATGTATCACGCATGGCACATAACTGACTGACTAAATCCACTTATATAAGGACTGTGACAGCGTTGCATTAACCAGATATATTTGTTTTATTATTTTTATTAAAATTTCAATTATGTAATGGTCAGTCTCTTCCCAGCACCTGAAGAAGATTGCGTTATTCATAAAACAGCGAGTCGTGCTACCGGTGAGTAATTAATATATATATATATATATATATATATATATATATATATATATATATATATATATATATATAAATATTTTAAAAATGTTGAAATCTAAATTCAGGGTTATGGAGATAAATGTTGCCAGTCATTTTAAGTATTAACTTTGTAGGTACACCTGCCAGGCCACAAATCTTCGAGATAAAAATGATCAATGGTCTCTGAAGCAGATAATGAACAAATTAATCAATGTTTGTTTGTTATATTTGTTTATTTGCGAACTCTAAACCGAGATTCACAAATCTATTTATGTTCCTTTGTTTCTTCTTGAAAGATAAACTCAAGTGTTTATCTAAAAATCTGTAACGGTGTTGTTTGTTTGTTTTTTTCTAATTTTATTCAAAATTCAGAAATGCATTATTATCAATTAATTTTTGAATCGTGTTTCATTCATCATATTTCCTTCCATCCACACCTATTTTTTCGTCCCAACAAAATACAGAACTTTCGATTATAGAGAGAGGGAGAGAGGGAGGGAGAGAGAGAGAGAGAGAGAGAGAGACTCTGACAGTGGTCGTAGTAGTAGCAGCAACAGTAGCGAGCATTTTTGACATTGTTGGTAATCTTTTTCAGATCAGGAAAAAATAACATTGAACGCAGGGTAATTTTTTTTAAATTCCTCGTTCAATAGGCTGGCAAATACGGTATATATTAGTTATATATGTGTACAATACACACTCTCTCTCTCTCTCTCTCTCTCTCTCACACACACACACACACACACACACAAATGCATGCGCACGCGAAAGATGCTAGTCACGCAAGGGAATCCGTCGCCCACAGCCTGTTACACGGTATGATATATAAATCTATATTTATCATAGAAATGTTTTGCCGGATAAAATTAGACAATCTACATGCGAAATGCAACGAATAACAGTGAGTGGCAGTAAGACGGGTGATCTGAGAAGTTAAAAACTAAATCAGACTAAAGAAAGAACAAAGACAGTCGTGTATGAATTATGTAATAGTATCATATGCTTCCGATTGGCAATAGCAAACGCTCTTAAAAATGGCAGCGCTTCCTCTGAAATACTGTCATTAAATATACATATATATATATGCTTATATATATATATATATGTGTGTGTGTGTGTGTGTGTGTGTGTGTGTGTGTATGTGCGTGTATAAGAAATGAGATGGATTTTTCATTTATTAATTTCAATATTCATTTATTAAAATTGATACCTGAGGATTGCAGAAAGCATGAAACTCCGAGTTGTGCAATCAATGCAGGTTATATGGATTTTTAATATATTAGCTCTGTTATTTAACATTGAGCACTGTTTCTTCTAACACTATGTATATTTGTATAGAAAACCTTGCACGTACATTTACCTATTTCATTATATATATGTGTGTGTGTGTGTGTGTGCGTGTGCGTGTGAGAGAGATATAGGGAGTGAAGGTGAGAGAGAATGAGAGGATGTGTGTATATGTTTTTGTTTTTGTGTCTGTGTGTGTAAAATAATACTAAGAATATTCCAGGGACTTGGGTTTAACGCATCAAAATGGATAAGCTCGTACCGTTGTGGTTATAAAAATCTGTTTGTGTTGAAATTCCAGCCGTTGCATTCGATTTGGTACAGATATCTTGGAAATGTATAAAAATCGTCGCTTCATTCCCCAGCTACACTACAAAAACGTTTGGGGAAAGCCGTGAATTTCATTAAAAAAAACACTTTAAAATGAGACATTTTTGTATCTTTTTTCTATAAACAATAAAATATCATTGCCTACAGTGTAGTTTCTTTTATTTTTCGTTTTTTTTTTCTCCAGGCTCCTCTGTCCCCAAAATTGAAATTTGGATTCATCTGTCCTTAATTTATTTGGCTAAATTTTAAATATTTTTGTATGAGAAACATTATGTTTTGTTCTCATTATTGACCCTTCACTAAACTTTTAAGGTTACCAAAAGGGCTGGACATTTGATTCATGTCAAGGGAACCATTAAAAAAGAACAATATCATACGATCTGGTTTACGCATAATTGGGGGAAAAAAATCACCTTTCAAGAAGACTACAATCCAAACCACACCCCACTCTTCTAAATGATGTCAAAATGACCTGGAGTCAAAAAGAGAAACAAAATTTGGGAAATCATGACTTGGCTGCCTCAATCTCCTGACCTCTTTCACATTGAATTAGTATGGGATGGATTGGATAGGAGAGTTCGAAGCGAATACCCAAAGAGTGAGCGTGAGCTTTTTCAGTGCTTGAAGAATGGTTGGGAAGGTTTGTCATGTACTTTTTTCAAAAACATTTGGAAAAAATGCAAAGAATTTTAAAGCGGTAAGGCAGGTGGTAGTTTTATTGATGAAAACAAAATATGATGCTGTTGTATGATCATATTTTATAGTTAAGTGGTTATTTTTTGTCAAAATAAAGTCAGATACACTGGAGTTATGAAATTTTATCTTGTACTTAAGAAAATGCAAGAACATCACATTTTCAGGTTATTTTTAAAGAAATGCAGGGTTTCTCGAAACTTTTTGCCTGTCGTCTAGGTGTTAATAACAATGTAGATTGGGTTTTCTAGCTTTCATTGGCAATCCGACTAGAAGGACAATTCTGAATTCTGGGAGTGGAGCTATCAACTCAACCTCGTAAAAAACTACAGCATCTACACCTAGTGTGGTAAGGCTGTGAACCTTGCGTGGTGAAATTGCGACCCTAAAACCCACAGGAAAATCTACAAGATTAACATACAATAAATCGGCCCAGTCTTCACATTCTCTGCCCAGTTCTCATTTTCCAGCCTTGATAGGGTTGAAAAGAATTTAGGCGGCCCTGTGGGCGATGAATTATTTTAACCTTACCACTCCTTTGCCCGCAGACGCAACACCTAACACTATCGTTACCTTCCTTAGTTCCCTCAGTTCAAACCTCTGGAGCTAAGACCTACCATGCCACATAGATAGGATTGAGTTATCCTCATTCGTTTCGTATTCCATTGTTAAGGAGGAAGTTCTATTCGGACAGCTTTTTTCCAAGAACTGCTGCCCTGTGAAACCGACTCCTGAGAGGATACTCAACCGACCACTACAATCTTCAAATCAAAGGTCATATTTCGTACATATCCTCCTAATCTGCACTTACTTAAACCTCTAACGCTCTGACAGGCTCATTCGGTATATCTCTAACTTCTGTGGCTCTTGAGCCTTGTATACAGTGAAAATTCAGAAAAAGAAGCTACATTCACAATTCTATTAATCAATATAAGACTGAGCAGATTAATTTAAAAATCATTAAGAAAGCTGGCTTCTTATAAAAATGTTTTATAACACGATGGCAGTGTGCCATCATTGGACATTTTCAAACTAAAATTGTACAACAAGACAATATGAGTGGTCCGAATACTTGGCTCGTTGACAAAAGCGAACTTGCTAACAACTTGGCTATATTAAACACAAGTATTTAGTAAGCGTTTCTACTTCAGGTTGCCATTTGTTCCATTTTGCTCGGCTTTTGCCTTAAATGTCGATCACATGTCACGGTTCTATGGAGCATAGAAATCAGCTCGACTTGAAACGGCCAATCAGTATTTCGTGCCCGGGAATTGCTTCCTTCTGGACAATTCTTTGTTGTTGCTATGCAAATTCCAATGGTCATTTCTAGAATAGCATCCTGTTAGACTATAAATGTTATCAGTGATGGCAGATGTTTATTCCATTGTGTTAGCAGGTGCAGAGGTGGGGATGGTGGAGATGAATAAAATAAACGTCTAGGACAATAACGGGTTGGTTGATATAGGATTATAATGATGGTAATGAGAAGGGTAATAAAATGCTAAAAAGAAAGAAATGGCATCAATAAAAAAGGAAAAGGAATCAGAGGAAAAAGAAATGAAGAGAAAAAGAAAAAGTAAAAAGGGTAACAAATGAAACAGACGAATAAAAAGAAAAAAAATAGAAAAGTTGGAAGAATGAAAAAACAGGAGGGAAGAGAATAGAGAAAAGAAAAAAAGAAGCAGGTTAGAAGAAGAAAAAAAAAAGAATAAAGAGAAAAGAAATAGAGAAACGTAAAAAAAAAGAGGAAGAAAAGAAAGAAGAAAACAGAAAAGGTGGAAAAAAGGAATGACGAAGAAAAATGAAAAAGTGAAGCGTAGGTAGAAAGGACAAAGAAATAAAAGAAGAAAAAGAGAAAAATTGGATAAAGAGGAAGAAAAAGATAAATAAAAAGAGAAGTGGGGGGTAAAAACGTGAAATAGAAATGAAATGAAGGAGGAAAAAGTGAAAAAGTGTAGAAAGGAAAAAGAGAAATGAAAAGAAAAGAAAAACGGAAAGGGTGAAAGAAAGGAAAAAGTGGGATGAAGAAAAAGAAAGAAAAAAATGGAGGAGAAAGTATAAAACAAAAAGAGGAATGAAAAGAAAGAAGAGAATGGTGGGTAAAAGTGAAAAGAGTAAAGAAGAGAAAAAGGGAAAAGGGTAGCGGGTGTAGAAGCGGTAGAAATGAAAAGAAAGAAGAAATGAGAAGGGGTGAAAAGGAAAAGAGAAATGAAGAGAAAGAAGGAAAAGAGAAAAATGTAAAAGAGAATATGGGGAAGAAATAAAAAAAGAGAGATTAAGAGAAAAAAATGAAAAAAGCGGGTATCAAAATGAAAAGAGGCTGAAAAGAAGAAAGAAAAAAGAAAAGGAAGATAAAAAGAGGAAAAGCGGACTGATGAGAAAAAAAGAAAAAGCGAAGCGAGGAAGGAAAATGAAGGAATGAAGACAGTAGAGAAAAGAAAAACAAAAACGGATGTAATAAGGAAAATGGAGAATAAATAGAAAAGAAAGAAAGTGTAGAAATGAGAAAGAGGGATAAGAAAAGAAGGAAAAGAGAGTAGAGGTAAAAAGGGTAAAGGGAAATGAAATCAAGAAAAAGAGAAACGGTGGGAACAAGGAAGAAAAAAGAGAAAAATATAAAAAATGAGTATGAGGATGAAATACAAAAGTGATGAAGAAAAAAAGGAAAGAGAATTGGGGAGGAGTAGAAAGGAAAAAGGAAGATGAAGAAAAAAAGAAAAAGAGAGCCGTAGTAAGAAAGGAAAAAAGAGAAAACTGTAAAAAAATAAAAGAATATGAGGAAGAAATAAAAAGTGATAAAGAGAAAATGGGAAAGGGAGCCGACAAAAAAGAAAAGGGAGACGAAGAGAAGAAAGAATAAAGAAGGGATGAAAAAAAAAGAAAAGAAAAAGATTGAAATCGGTAAAAAGAAATAAAAGGATATCGTGAGAGAAGAAAATCGAGAGATAAAATGACTAAGAAAAAAAGGAGATTAAGTGCAGAGAAGAAGAAGAGAGAAAAGAAGAAAATCGATAATGAAGATAGCGGAAAGAAATCGTGAGAAAGGAAAATAGATGGAACGTTCTAAATAGACAAGGAACAAGAATAAAAAGAAAAAAAATAATTAGATGACGAGAATAACACAAAGAAAAGAAAAATGTGAAACAAAAAGAACAAAGAAAAAAATAATATATATACTGTATTTTTGGACAGGCATGAACTCAAACAAATAATAAATCTAAATAAAAGCAATGATCAAGTTTTGGTCTGATTAAAAAGTCGATCAGCAGGATTTTAACCTCCAAATACACAGATTAAACTTTAATCCAAGAAATTGTCCTTTTCGACTCTACAGGAATAAGATGTCTTTGCCATAATAATTGGTATTTTAAATTTGATCTTTATTCGATCGCAAACCTATTTTCTACCAATATATCGGTTCTGATTTATTCCTATTTATCGACATTTTCCCCATAAAATGTTTTCTTAATATTCGATTGTTATTCGATTATATAAAGATAACATTAATAACTCGTTGTCTAATATTTTCTTAGAAGATCTAACTTGTTAGTACCCAGATAAAGAAGCTCAAATTTAAATCTTCATTTGCATCACAATAGAATCTCTTTGATTAATATTGTAAAAACATTATTTTATCCCCAAATCTCAATAGTCCACTTGTTCCTAACCAACTAACAAAATATATTCGCTGTTCTTGTGTTCACGACCTTGATAATTAATTCAAAACCCAAGAAATCTACCGTTACATAATTCCCATGGATCTATTAATGATTATATCGAAATAGAATAACTCAAAACTAATATTACAAAAAATGAAGAATGAATAAATATGAGACAGGCAAATGTTAATTACAGATATTATGATACATTTTCGTTTTTTTTTTTTCTCGAAAGTTTTAAGCGAAAAATAAAAACGGAATATTTTGCATGAGATTCTTGAAAATTAAGCATTAATGGAATTATTACAAAAATTAATTTTTTTAATAATAAATAGTGGGAGTGTTTCGAAATTTATTGAATTTAATTCTATTTCTGAATTTCAATATACAAAGTGGAATTTCTACGTTTAAATAATGTTAAAATAATTTTAAATAATGTATTAATAAAATAAACAATTTGTAAATATTCTGAAGGGGAAACTTTGTTAATATGCACCAAAACGTATTCATAATATTGACAATCGTTTGTCTATTTGGTTTGATCTGAACTCTGGTGCGTGTGAATGTGTTGACACGTGTTTATTTGTACAACTCATAAAGAGCGGATATTATTGTAAAAACATCTACAAAAAATACTTGATACAAAAAACTGAAACTTTCTCTACAGTTTACTTCCCGCGTTAAACCATCTGACATATACAGGTGAGTAAATAGATATTAGTTTTAATGACGCTTGATCAACCACAAAAACACTTTTTTATGAAACACTTCAAGACGGTTGGATGAAGCAAGAGGAACAGATTGGATCTGAGAAATAAAATTTATAGATCAACATCGAGTCTAGTAACAGACGTGAACAAAACTCGAGAATTCGAACCAGTGACTGTCGACTCACAAAACAGCAGTTGAATTCGTGCCATTTTTAAAATTCCTATTTTGGGAACATCTTGAAATTAATTATCCCTGTCTCATCGCCAGTCATCTCGATCATTCCTTGTCATTGGCACACTAAATAGGGAAGTAGAGAAAATTAAACGGGCTTAGATTTTTACCTTGAGAATATGCAGAAACCAATTTTCCATGTCCCATCTCCAGTCATTATGCCTTATTATTTTGACATTATGTAGGGAAACAGAAAGAAGAGGATAGCATAGAATTTATACTTTAGGAACATTTTGACCCCAATTCTCCATGTCTCATCGCCAATCATTTCGTTCGGGCCTTATCACGGGCACATCAAGTAGAGAAAAATAGATTGATTTTCCATTCTCCCCTTGAGGGCAGACATTTAGTCAACGTCCTTTCTAGATCCCACCTCTTTCGCCCCACGTTTTGACTTTCTTATGGTCCATGGGATTAAATAAAAAACTCTTTCTAAAAAAATCCAAGATATTATAACCCACCACTCTTTCGAAATTGACGTTCATACTTTCTGGTCATGGGATTAAAATGTTTATCCAGATACCATACACATAGGATTAAAACACTTATACTTTCGCCATCAGCCTTAACCGTTCATCTTCTTATGGTCACATGGGATTATCCTTTGACAGCTACTTTATGACAGACCTTATGGTCACATGGGATTAAATAAACCCACCCATATCCATTGACACGTTCATGACTTTCTTATGGTCACATGGGATTAAACTATATCCATTGACAGTTATGACTTTCTTATGGACATGGGATTAAACCACCCTTTTACTGATTGCGTATACATAAAAATTTCTGTACCTTTAATGAATGTCTACCATTTCCATCTTTCAGCCTTTGGTCACATGGGATTAAATAAACCCCTTTAACTCATTCTACTGCAGTCTTTTCGCCATCAGCTACTTAGAACGTTCGCACACACATACACACGCATCAGCTACTTAGACATATCTTATAGTCACATATATATATATATATATATATATATATATGTATAGACACGTGTTTTTATGGTCACATGGGATTAAATAAACCCACTCTTTTATAGACACGTTCATGACTTTCATCTATGGATTAAATAAACCTACCCTTTGTGTGTGTGGTATGGGATTAAATAAACCCGACTGAATAACGTTCAACTTATGGGTGGGATTAAATAAAAGCCATTCTTAGACAGCTTTCTTATGGTCACATGGGATTAAATCCTTTCGCCATCAGCTACTTAGACACGTTCATGACTTTCTTATGGTCATGGGATTTTTTTCAGCTACTTGTCTTTCTAATGGTATTGGAGCCATCCACTTTTTGGGATTAACAAACCCACTTTTTCGCCATCAATTGACGTTTGACTTTCCAATGGTCACATGGGATTAAATACCCTTTGCCATCCGCTTAAACGTTTGATGGTGGGATTAATTTCGCCATCAGCTACTTTTTAGCGCATGACTTTCTTATGGTCACATGGGAATCTCTTTCGCCATCAGCTACTTTTACGTTCAAATGGACATGGGGCATCAAACCACTCTTTCGCTTAACACGTTCATGACTTTCTTATGGTCACATGGGATTAAATAAACCCACTCTTTCGCCATCACCTTAGACACGTTTTCCTCTCGATGGTCATGGATTAAATAAACCAATCTTGGCTAAAATTATTTCATTTATCACACACATACATATAAACTAACTTTCGCCATCAAACGTTCATACGAATGTACTATATTTTAAAGCTACGAAGGATAGAAAGTTGTGGAGCTACTTAGACACGTTCATGACTTTCATGGTGATATCCCGCCATTCATGAAGAGTACATGGGATTAAATAAACCCACCCTTTCGCCATCAGCTATGGAAATACCATAGTAATGGGTTATCCATATTTACTAAGTTTTTTCAATGAAGCACAAAAGCTAAGATGCCATCAGCTACTTAGACAAATTCATGGGGTTAAATACGTCTTTCGTTCCAATAGACGAACGTCTGTGTTATGGATTAAATTCACTCTTTTACCTGTTTTCGAACACTGACCTCTGGATCAAGGGGATTAAAAAACACGCCAACTCACGTTCATGAATGGTCACAGGTAGGCACAAATATTTACATGGGATTAAATAACCCCCCCCCACAGGTGGTCACATGGGATTAAATAAACCCCCTTTCGCCATGAGAATCAAACGCAATATGGTCACATGGGATTAAATAAACCCACTCTTTTTCTACTTAGACACGTTCATGACTTTCCAATGGTCACTAAACCATCTTTTTCCACGGTAGGCGTCATACTTTCTTATGGTCACGTTAAAAAAAGCCATCTACTTAGACAAATATCTATTTATATCTGTTCATCGATCATATTTATTTCATTAGTTCATAATCTCTTCATACTTATCTCAATATGGTCCGGTCTACATCCGGTAAATGTCCGGTAATCATCCAGACATTTAATAGTAAATAAAATCACACTTAGACACGAGCAAATGGATTTAAACCCACTTTTCGCCATCAGCTACTTTACCTCAAGGCATTATGGTCACATGGGATTTAATCCTCTTCAAAGTACTCCTGTCGAAATCATCAGCTACACGTTCACTTTCTTATTTAGCCATCCAACGTCCTTTCTAGTTTTGAAAAAAAAACACAGTCTTTGGGTTTAAGAAAACCCACTCTTTCGCCATCAGCTACTTAGACACGTTCATGACTTTCTTATGGTCACATGGGATTAAATAAACCCACTCTTTCGCCATCAGCTACTTAGACACGTTCATGACTTTCTTATAGTCACATGGGATTAAATAAAACTTCCAAATCATCGCTTGAATCGCTCTTATTATGACATTTTTCTTTCCGAATTGATTAACAATTCCGAAAATGGATTTCGAAACGAATTACGAAATGGTTAACATTTCTTTCCGAAATGGTTAACGAACGATTGTAAAGCGACAGAATGTAAAGTCATTAGATAGAGAGAGAGAGAGCAATATGCAAGCTACGAACTTAAAATATCAAAATGAAGCATTTACAGAAATTCAAACATGAGGGAGTGATTTAACAAATAACAGAAAATTTGACACCGAAATCCAAACAAGAATCATAATAGTAAAAGTATTAAGAAAGCGGAAAATTTCTCTTCGAACAAAGTTCGTTAGGTAAATTACTAGATATTTCTCTCTGCCTCTCTTTCCTTTAATATGTCTTGTGAGTGTCAGATTCTCCAAGCCCTCTTTCATCATAATGTATCCCAGAAATTTCAACTGTCACTTTCTGATCTTAATATCCTTTTAGTTCCCATTTTCCTTAAAACCTCCTCATTGTTCACATGTTGCGTCCAGGGAATTCTCAGCATCTTTCTGCAGAACTATATCTATATATTACGTCAACTTTCCCCTTCATCAGTGAGGAACTTGTTGCAGCATTCACTTCTATATAGGAGGATTGGTGCTATATAGCAATTCAACATTCTTCTTTTATT